ATAGAGTAGGTAGAGAAAGAGGTCCTTTTCTCCCTTTCTCACAAGACAAGAACTCGTGGGCACTCCACGAAATTGCTGAGCGGTCGGGTTAGAACGGATCGAAGGAAGCCCTTCTTCACCCAGAGAGTAATTAACACATGGAGTTTACTGCCACAGTAGGGGGTGGCGGCTACAGGCATGGGCGGCTTCAAGAGGGAATTAGGTAAGCATATGGAGCAGAGGTCCATCAGTAACTATTAGTCACAAGGTATAGATAGGGGCTCTGGGGCAAGTGATGCTCTGTCTTCTTGGTGCTTGGGGGGGGGGTCAACAGTGGGAGGGCTTCTAATGTCCTGGCCCCACTGCTGGACCTCCTGATGGCACTGGTATTTCTGGCCACTGTAAAAGCTCAGAGTAGTTTGCAAGCGAAGCAGGGCTGTTCCAGGTTAGTCCTGGGATGGGAGACCCCCGAGGAAGTCCAAGGTCATGCTAGAGCATCCTCCCGGCAACGTGCCCAGCACGATGACGTCACCTCTGTCAACATCCATGTGTTCTATAAGTCTGGCTGTAGATCATGTCAATCTGTGTTGTTGTTTTTCCCCAATAAGTGTTTTTTATTTTGAACAATATATACAACAGTACATTCGTAACATATATTGACGCTATGAAATAATCAACTTTCTCAACCCTTAAGAGCCCTTTTAAAAATATAACAGATCTTTGTAATAAGAGTTGTTTTGGAATCCCTTCTTCTTCTGCTAGATAGTTCACCACAGGAGCTGACAGCTCAGACTGTCAGTAGAGCGGGCTGCAACTGGTTCTGTCTGGTTCAGAGCAGAGCTAATTAGCAATGACTCAGGATTGGGTCCTGATTGGACAATGCTGGTATATAAGTATAATGCTGTACTGTGTACCATCCTTCCTGATGGAAAACTAGTGTCTGCGTGAGCATTTTGTCGTTCTGTGCAATATATCGGTGGAGGCTTGTGTAAATAAGTTGTATATAGTTTTACACCAAGCCTATAAGACTTACGTCTTCTTTGATACCCTCACACCACTCGCAACCTGCAGTGGGCTAGCACCGCGCATACCTCGACAACCTCCGGGTGACGTCAACGTGCTGGGCACGTTGGCGTGATCCTGGCATTTTGGGGGCGGGCGGGGTTTCCCCGCTGGCCGAATCTGGGCTGGTGGATCGGGCCCCCCTAAACAGCCAGTTTGGTGTGGTGGTTAGGAGTATAGAAGGAGTATAACAGTATAGAAAAATGTAAAAGCATAAAAACTCTAATCTGGGAGAACCGGGTTTGAGTCCCCACTCCTCCACGTGCAGCTGCTGGTGTGACCTTGGGTCGGTCACAAGTTCTCTCAGAGCTGTTCTCTCAGGAGCTGTCCTCAAAAGAGCTCTCTTGGCCCGACCGACCTCACAGGGTGTCTGTTGTGGGGAGGGGAAGGGAAAGGAGCTTGTAAGCCGCTCTGAGACTCTCAGTGAAGGGCGGGGTATCAATCCAGTCTCTTCTTCTTTTCCCCCTGGGGCCATGGCAGACTGAGTTGTTTCTGACACACACACCGCAGAGCCATAAACTTATAACCTTTGACTGAAGCGACAAACATGTTTTCCCAAAACAAGCAGTAAAATAGGGAACAACAATTGTTAAGAAAGAATCACCGACTCCTGAGGTTTCCAGGAATCCCCTATGGCTTGGCCTGGCAGGCCCAGCTCAGTTTCAAATGAACCGACCGTCCTCCTTATAAGCCTCCCCTTAAAAATAGAAATATGTTTCAGTGAATTTTCCCAGTTGCTTTTGTACAGAGGGAAGTCAGCAGAAGGTGAGCGGGAGAGAACCATGCAAAAACCACAGCAGAGACTAACCGGCTCGTTCGGTGTAATGCTTTGATGTAGTGGTTTGGTGTAGAGGTAAAGTGCATAGGCTTTAATCTGGGAGAACTGGGTTTGATTCCCCATGACTCCACGTGCAGCTGCTGGGGGACCTGGGGTCAGTCACAAGTTCTCTCAGAGCTGTTCTCAGAGCTTATAAGTTATTATGTTTGCCGCAAGGGCTCCGATGGGACCCTAGAAAATGTGCTGCTATTTTCTGTTTTAAGAGTTTTATACTCTTAAGAGAATTTATTGCCCCTTATGTCTTGTATGTACATCACTGTCCTTGAAAAAGGCTGTATTCGATATGGGTAAATTACCAGAATCCCCTGGGACTAGTGATTGAAAAACCAACAAGGTGCTGTTTGAGTGTTTGAACACAGTATAACTGTGTATAGATGATGGTAACACCAGGGGTCATTTCCTGTGGGAGCGCACAGGAGCGGAGCTCCGGCAGTAAAGAGCCCAGGGGGCACATGCGCATGCAACAAGCCCCGCCCCCTGCTCCCAGCAGCCCTCAGTCAGAGCAAGAAGCAGCCAGGTAAGCTGCAGAAAAGCTGTCAGCAAACAATTTGGCTGCTGCATGAATTAGTTTGCTCCGGAGCCCTCCTTCCTGAGCTAAGGCAAAAATGTGTGAGCCGGAGGCTAAAAAACTGTGAGCTGGCTCACACTAACTCAGCTTAGAGGGAACACTGGCTCACGGTAGATCTATTTTGTGCTTTTTATTTTTATGCTTTTACATTTTTCTATACTATTATATAAATATTGGTGTCAAGTATTACCAAACATAGGTTTCACCGAAAGAATACATCAAAGTGCAGGTTTACGCTGTGTTCAAGTCCAAGAAGCGATCCAAAAGACGGAAGCCTGTGTGCGTACGGCGCTACAAAACTAGTTTAAGTATTTTAAAGTGACAGTGTAATGATCCAGAGTGCGAATATACACACAATCAACATTTCACAAGGTAAGTACAAAAATAAGCAAATTGATGAGATATCAGTAGGTCTCACAAGGCTCTTTACAGCATTTTGCTCTTCTAAGAATCATTTGGAACCTTACACAATGCTGTCACGACACTTCAGTGAGACTTTATTGATATGTACCAGTTGAGACCTTGACTAGAGACGCTGCGTATTCTTCATTTTCGTTCGGAAGAAGATTACTATCGAAACGGTAGAATATTCCGGAGATTGTCATTAGGTAAAAAGGTAAAGGTTCCCTTGCTCGAAAGCTAGTCGAATCCGACTCTAGGGTTGCGGTGCTCATCTCCGTTTCAAAGCCGAAGAGCCAGCGCTGTCCGAAGACGTTTCCGTGGTCATGTGGCCGGCATAACTGAACACCAAGGCGCACGGAACGCTGTTCCCTTCCCACTGAAGTGGTACCTATTTATCTACTTGCAATTTCTTGCTTTCGAACTGCTAGGTTGGCAGGAGCTGGGACTAGAGATGGGAACTCACTCCGTCATGCGGCACCCGGGTTTCGAACTGCTGAACTACCGACCTTCCACAGCCTGCAGTTCAGCGTCTTAACCACTTGAGCCACCGCAGCAGGATTCTCGTTAGCATCTCATCCATTTGCTTATTTTTGTACTTACCTTGTGAAATGTTGATTGTGTGTATAGTCGCACTCTGGATCATTACACTGTCACTTTAAAATACTTAAACTAGTTTTGTAGCGCCGTACGCACACAGGCTTCCGTCTTTTGGATCGCTTCTTGGACTTGAACACAGCGTAAACCTGCACTTTGATGTATTCTTTCGGTGAAACCTATGTTTGGTAATACTTGACACCAATATTTATATAATAGTATAGAAAAATGTAAAAGCATAAAAATAAAAAGCACAAAATAGATCTACCGTGAGCCAGTGTTCCCTCTAAGCTGAGTTAGTGTGAGCCAGCTCACAGTTTTTTAGCCTCCGGCTCACACATTTTTGCCTTAGCTCAGGAAGGAGGGCTCCGGAGCAAACTAATTCATGCAGCAGCCAAATTGTTTGCTGACAGCTTTAATGCCGGTAGCTCATAAAGTAGAATTTCTGCTCACAAGACTCTGCAGCTTAGAGGGAACATTGATCTGTAAGCATACGTCTATGATACACAGTGTCATATATTTCTCCGTGATCTCTGGATGGTGACCGGAGATCGCCCGCGATACAACTGGTCTCCAGGCGACAGTGGTCAGTTCGCCTGGAGAAATATGGCCGCCTTGGGAGGTGGAGTCCCTCCCCCCCCCAAAACCCTAACCTCCTCAGGCTCCACCCCTTCCCAAACATCCAGGCGTTCCCCAACCCGGAGCTATGATTCCAGGAGGTCTCCTCCAGGCCCCACGTGGAAGTGATCCATCCTTGCTAAGATCCAACTTAGAAAAGGGGGGTTAGATAGATTCGTGGAGGAGAGGCCTGTCAATGGCCATGGTGACTGAGGGGAACCTCCACATTCAGAGGCACTCAGCCTCTCAATCCCCCGCAGCCAGTAGGCAACATCAGGGGAAGGCTTTGGCCTCTATTCCCCATTGTTGGGCCTCCAGAGGAACTGGTTGGCCCCTGTGTGAGACAGGAGGCTGGACTAGATGAACCCTCACTGGTCTGATCCAGCAGGGCTCTTCTGAGGTTCTTATCAGGGGAAGGCCTCGGCCTCTCTGCCCTGTTGTTGGCCCTCCAGGGGAACTGGCTGGCCCCTGTGTGAGAGAGGAGGCTGGACTATATGGACTCTCCCTGGTCTGACCCAGCAGGGCTCTTCTGAGGGTCTTATCAGGGGAAGGCCTCGGCCTCCATGCCCTGTCGTTGGCCCTCCGGAGGAACTGGTTGGCCACCATGTGAGACAGGAAGCTGGACTAGGTGGACCCTCATTGGTCTGATCCAGCAGGGCTCTTTTTAGGTTCTTTTCAGGGGAAGGCCTCAGCCTCTGTCCCCTGTTGTTGGTTATCTAGACGAACAGGTTGGCTTCCGTGATGGACAGGATGCTAGAATAGATGGACTGCTGGTCTGACCTAGCGGAGCTTTTCTTATGTTCTTCTCTTCTACATGCGACCAGTGTACTGATTACAGACAGGCCGTTTGCGTTTGTTGTGTCGAGAGACCCTCCGGTAAGAACTCCGGAGGCCCCGGGGCCGTTCTGAAACCGTGTCTCTTTTTGTGTCTACCGTCAGCATCTCCCGGCAGAGACCATGTTGGCCGCCAACCGGACCGACGCCTGGCTCCACCGCCTGGACTCGGTGCTGAGGTCCTTGAACCACACTCTCCACCACCCTCAGCCCTGCGCCCAAGACGGGAACCTCGGCAGAGACGACGACGATGAGAAGAACGCCTACATGTACATTCTCTTTGTGATGGTCCTCTTTGCGATAACGGTCGGGAGTTTGATCCTGGGCTACACCCGGTCCCGGAAGGAAGTCGACAAGCAGAGCGATCCGTACCGTGTTTATATCCAGGAGCGGGTGTCCATGATATGACGAGAGGGGCCCAGAGAGAGAGAAAAACGGACGGCTGCTGTGGAGATACTTAGCCGCGTCCTCCTCGAAAGGGACGTCTTTGTCGGATCCTGTGGAGTTCTTCCTTCAGGGTTTGGGACACCCCCTGACAGGCTGAAAGACAATTCGGGATGTGAGGAGACCAGGGGGAGGGGGTGGAGAGATTTTGGACCCGTTTAATCTTTTAAAAAAAACTATTTTAACATTGATTGGTTGTCGTCCCCCACCCAGTATACAATAAACGGGTTGGTGTTTGTTGATGGATCAAAATATTTCCGTGCTTGGGTGGGAAAATCCAAAAGAGAGCCCCTTTCCATTGATCTAACGCAGGGCCCAGTCCAGATGGAAGGTTCCCCTGTTCAAGTCCGACTGAAGGAAAAGGGAATGTGAGAACACGGACGAAAGGAGCTGCCTTATATTGAATCAGACCCTTGGTCCATCAGGGCCAGTATTGTCTGCTCAGACGGACCGTGGCTCTCCAGGGTTCTCAGGCGGAGGTCTATCACATTGCCTACTGCCCGGTCCTTTTAACTGGAGATGCCCTCTGGACACCTTCCACTTGTCTATGTCCTTCTTAAATTGTGGTGCCCAAAACTGAACACAAAATGGTGAGGTCTTACCAGAGCAAAGTGATACTTCTGTTGATACAGCCCAAAATCGCATTTGCCCTTTTAGCTACGGCATCACACTGCTGACTCATGTTTAGTGTATGGTCTACTAACACCCCTAGATCCTTTTCGCATGTACTACTGCCAAGACAAGTCTCCCCCATCCTATAATTATGCCTTTCATTTTTCCTACCTAAATGCAGAACTTTACATTTATCCCCGTTGAAATTCATTTTATTTGTTTTAGCCCAGTTTTAAAGCCTGTCAAGATCAGCCTGTGTCCCGACTCTGTCTTCTACTGTATTTGCTTCTCCTCCCAATTTAGTATCGTCTGCAAATTTAATAAGCATGTTATTGAGAAACCAACAAATGTCACACAAAGGGCCCCACTATGAACCCCAAGCACGTGACGTTCTGACCAGTGTTCCCTCTAAGCTGAGTTAGTGTGAGCTCACACATTTTTGTCTCAGCTCAGGAAGGAGGGCTCCAGAGCAAACTAATTTATGCAGTAGCCAAATGGCTCGCTCAGAACTTCAATGCCAGGAGCTCACAAAGTAGAATTTTTGCTCACAAGACTCCACGGCTTAGAGGCAGCATTGGTTCTGACATACATATCCTTAGCATATAGAGGTTAAGATTTCTGCCTCCGACCACCTTCTTCTCCTCCGTTCCGCCCTCTAACTTTGTTGGTTAGCAATGCCCCCCTCTAAGCTGTGGAGTCTTGTAAGCAAAAATTCTACTTTGTGAGCTACTGGCATTAAACCTGTGAGCGAGCGATTGGGCCGCTGCATAAATTAATTTGCTTTGGAGCCCATCCTTCCCGAGCGAAGGCAAAAATGTGTGAGCTGGAGGCTAAAAAACTGTGAGCTAGCTCACATTAACTCAGCTTAGAGGGAACACTGGTGGTTAGTGCAGGCCTATAATTTTTCTTGAGATGACCCCACCAAATAACATTTCTCCATGCAGGGGTGCCAGCTAGATGTGGCCTCGTGCCCAGATGTGGGTAGAGCCGTCTGCCTTCCTCTTGGACTAGGCCGCGCTTCCCTTCCTGAGGTGGGACTTGGCAATGTTATCTCTAGCCCATCACGTCCTGCCATACTAGAACGGGTTCTTTTATGAGGCCGTCAGGGGAGAATGGATTGTTCCTGCCTGCCAGCGTCCGCAGCCAGCTTCGCTTTTCCCACACAGCAGAGTGTTTGCTCAGTAATGTTTCGTAACAAGAAGCCTGCCTGCGTCCTTTGTATTTATTTCCCTCTTTCGTCTTACAACCTGAAGGCTAAATCAACTTACTGGTACCTGGGAGACCCAGTTTCGAATCCTCACTTTGCCATGAAGCCTGCTGGGTGGCGTGGGGCCAGTCGCATTCTCTCAGCCTGAACCTGCCTCACAATGTTGTTGTGAGGGTTAAACTAGGGAAAGGAGGACCTGGTGTCTGAGGTACTTTCCAGGGAGGTTAGGACTGCATCTCCGATGGTCCTTCCCTCCATTGTATCCTCATAACAGCCCTGCGAGGTAGGCTGAGGAACCGGACTAAGGTCACTCAACGAGCTTGGGAGGTAAATTACCATCTGCAATCCCTGGAGAGAGGTGGAGCATGGTGTAGGGGTGACCCAGGTTTGAAACCCGCTCATGCCATGGAAGCTGGCTGGGTGGCCTTGGCCCAGTCACAGTATAGTGGTTAAGTGTGCGGACTCTAATCTGGGAGAACTGGGTTTGATTCCCCACTCCTCCAACCCGCACCTGCTGGATGACCTTGGGCAAGCCATAGTTCTCTCAGAGATGTTCTCTCAAGGGCAGTCCTTGAAAGAGCTCTCTCAGCCCCGCCTGCCTAAAGGGTGTCTGTTGTGGAGAGGGGAAGGGGAAGGAGATTGTAAGCCCGCTCTGAGTGAGGGGCGGGGTATAAATCCAATCTCCTCTTCTTCTTTGTGAGGTGCCATTGAACCAGGATTGTAAGCTGTGCTTCAGAGTTGGTCTATTAACCACAGTTAGTGTCAACTGTGTTTTCACCAGTTTGGTGTCGTGGTTAAGTGCGCGGACTCTAATCTGGGAGAGCCGGGTTTGATTCCCCACTCCTCCACTTGCACCTGGCTGGATGACCTTGGGCAAGCCGTAGTTCTGACAAGAGCTGTTCTTGAAAAAGAGCCATTTCTGTCAGAGCTCTCTCAGCCCCACCTGCCTCACAGGGTGTCTGTTGTGGGGAGGGGAAGGGAAAGGAGTTTGTGAGCCGCTCTGAGACTCCTCTGGGTAGTGAAGGGCGGGGTATAAATCCAATCTCCTCTTGTTCTTCTTCTACCTCACAGGGTGTCTGTTGTGGGGAGGGGAAGGGGAAGGAGATTGTGAGCCGCTCTGAGACTCCTCTGGGTAGTGAAGGGCGGGGTATAAATCCAATCTCCTCCTCTTCTTCTTCTACCTCACAAGGTGTCTGTTGTGGGGAGGGGAAGGGGAAGGAGATTGTAAGCCGCTCTGAGACTCCAGGTGAAGGGCGGGCTGTAAATCCAATCTCCGCCTCCTCCTCCTTCTTTGCGCAACCTACCTCACAGGGTTGTTGTGAGAATAAAACGGAGGAGAGGAAAAGGATGTGAGCCGCTTTGGGTTCCCACTGGGGGGTGAATGGTTTGATATAAATAAATGGTGGTTGCTATCAGAAGTCACAAACAAACCCACCTTTGTGACAAGAAAGGGCTAGGAAGCTTGTGGGGTAGTCGTGAGGCACTCTTCTGGATGCCCAGGACACTCGATCTTTGAATGCACCCTTCACCTTGTGAATGATACACTTCCCCCCCCCCTCCTGCTGAGTCTTTAGCAGGGTTCAGAGCAGGCAGAAATCCAACAGCGGAGAAGAAAAAGAAGAGAGAGATTGGATTTATACCCCGCCCTTCACTACCCGAAGGAGTCTCAGAGCGGCTGACAATCTCCTTTCCCTTCCCCTCCCCACAACAGACACCCTGTGAGGTAAAAGAGGAACAAGAAGAGATTGGATTTATACCCTGCCCTTCACTCCCCAAAGAAGTCTCAGAGCACCTCGCAAACTCCTTTCCCTTCCGCTCCCCACAACAGACACCCTGTGAGGGAGGTCGGGCTGAGAGAGCTCTTTCGAGGACTGCTCTTGAGCGAACAGCTCTGAGAGAACTTGTGACTGACCCAAGGTCACACCAGCAGCTGCCTGTGAAGGAGTGGGGGAATCAAACCCGGTTCTCCCAGATTAGACTCCGCGCTCTTTACCACGACACCAAACTGGCTCTCCCTTCCCCTGCCTCCGAGGCTTTCCCATAGCAAGGAGAGTCAAGTGGCGTGGAGTTCCGCCTCCTGAACGCCATCCCAGCAGGCAGCTGCTAAGGACACAGGTATCCTGGCAGGGGGGGAAATTCAGGTGGGAAGCTGAGTCCCCCCCCACTTCCACCGCCGCTGCCCTTCCTCGATCGAAAGAAACTTTAGCCGCAGTCGGTAAGCAGATAAGGCCAGTTTGGTGTAGCGGTTAAGTGCGCGGACTCTAATCTGGGAGAACCGGGTTTGATTCCCCACTCCTCCACTTGCACCTGGCTGGATGACCTTGGGCAAGCCGTAGTTCTGTCAAGTGGCGTGGAGTTCCGCCTCCTGAATGCCATCCCAGCAGGCGGGGGGTGGGGAATTCAGGTGGGAAGCTGAGTCCTTCCCCACTTCCACCGCCGCTGCCCTTCCTCGATCGAAAGACACTTTAGCCGCAGTCGGTAAACAGATAAGGCCTCCGATCAGGTGAATGCTCATAAAAAGGTATCATCGAGGCAATTATGAGGAGCGCGCCTGTGACAGAGGTCGGGCTCGGCAGAAGCGAGGTTTCCCTCGCCAGCTCTTGGACAGAACCGACTTCTGACGAGGATTCACATTCTTTCCCCCCCCCAGAAAATGTCTTGCTTTCATTTCAACACCCCCCCCGGAATGACCTTGGGCCAGTCACCTTCCGCCGCGCCCACCCCGTAGGGTTGTTGTGAAAAAGCGAGGAACGCCGCAAGGTGCTTTTTGGCGGTGGATCAGATAAAGATGGAAAGACTAGAACGGTTCACCCTCCGAAACAGTCACTGTCTCCAGGGGGAATTATCTCTGTCGTCTGGAGGTCGGTTGCGATTCCAGAAGAACTCCCGGCCCTACCTGGAGGTTGGCAACTCCTTTCGAAGCATGATAGGAGGAAAGAAAAACGATAGGCAGGCAACGTTTGCAGAACAAGGGCACCCGTTTATTATTTACCAAAATCAAATGTGCAAACTAAATAATGTTCAGAGAGAGGTTTTACTATGTACTTAAATCCGGTTATAGATTTTGGTAGAATGCCCTGTTCAGCTCTACTGAAATACGACGATTGTATTTATTTACGTCATTGTACAACTTAACAGTTTATATGTTTATAAATCAGTAACATGACATAAGAAGAAAAAAGAAGGAGGAGGAGGAGATTGGATTTATACCCCAGCCTTCACCACCCGAAGGAGTCTCAGGGTGGCTTACAATCTCCTTTCCCTTCCCCTCCCCACAACAGACACCCTCTGTGAGGTACGCGAGAACCGGGATTGATTCCCCACTCCTCCACATGCAGCTAGT